GGGGCCCCCCAGGGGCACGTCCGCTGGGTGCGGCCGGCGAGGGGCAGTGGGCAGGGGCAAGGCTGGCAGCCAGCCCGGGCTCCCGGGGTTGCCCAGGCCATGGCACTGTGGGAGACCCTGCTGACACAGAGCTCTGGGGCCGCAGAGCTGGCGTGACCATGTGGAGGGTGACGGTCTCTGAGCACGGGACTGCAGAGAAGGTGCTGCCTTCTGCGTGTCTTTCCTTTGTGGAAACAAAACAGTGGAAAACCCAGGCCCTGAAGCAACCGGGACCCTCAGGAGAGAGTGACCATCCGTGCCCGATGGAGAAGCGGCCAGGAACCCCTTTGCCCTTTGGTTCTCCTGCTGACCCCTTAATGCTTCCGACAAAGCCCATGGGCAGGGCCCAGAGCAGCTGTGGGGATCCCTGAAAAACTTGTCCTTGGAAATGTCCACGGATCCATTCCAGCCATGAACCGCCATGTGTTTCCTGCCCGTGTGTTGCTGGCTGGATTGTTGAGGCGTCCAAGGTGCCTAAAGTAGCTGGCACCTATGGAGCTCCTGCAGTGCTGTGCTGCTGCGGGGCAGGTTTGACGGGCTGGGGGAGGCCCCAGGCCACGGGCACGTGGCAGTGTGTCACAGGGCCCTTTGTGACCCGCCGTGATATGGGCGCTGGCGGTGACGCGGCCATCCCACAGTGCCCGGAGGACGGGACGGGACAGGACGGGACGGAGTGGGGCTGCGAGGAGCCCCTGCGCAGCCACCTCGTTCCTTGCTGACCCACGTCCGTGGCGCTTTTCCGAGGCATCTCCCATCCTTGCGACAGGAGCCCTCGAGGCCAGGCCTCAGCGGGATGGCGGAGAGAGCCCCCAGCGTGCCCAGGCTGGCCTGGCTCGGGGGGGAGGAGGAGAAAGGCGCTGGGGCTGCCCCAGCATGGCAGCCTGATGAGGTGGAGGAGGTCCAGCCGCTGCAGGCGGGTGAGTGGCTGAGCTGGGCCACAGGGCTAGTGGCTGGAGCCGGCTGGGGCCCCTCCCATCCCCTGTGGAAATCCCCCGGGCAAAAGGGGGGGCGG